AGGACCTTCGCCTAGGCAGGATCTACCGCACTGGCGCGCGCCTTGCATGCACGTACGGAGTAGAAGTCAATGGCCTGACTGATGCAGAGCTTGGTGACCTTCGCCGCGCTTACGGGCGCCAGGTCAAGCCTCACCACGGGGGTACGTCGGCCACGGCCAAGCTGGCGCTGGACGGCGACCCCGCCATCCGACAGGCGATCGCGCCAGTCATTCAGTACAGTCGCATGACGTGGGAAGCTATTACACGTCCTGGGCGTGCGCTTGTATCGCAGAAAGATCTATTGCTTTGGTGGGACTCTGCTGTTACTTTCCTGGGCCGCCCTTTCAGCTGGGCTAAGTCACGAGGGCCACTGGAGCGAGCGGCTCTGTGTCTTGAGCGCGTCGGCTGGACCACACAGAGCGGCGCCCTCTGGCGTGATCATCTGGACCAAGAGGTTCGAGTCGACCAGCATTCACCAGCCGTAGTTGCGGACCTGCTCAGTGCAGCGACGCAGCGGATGCTTGAATGTCAACTTGCTGACAAATGGGAGTTGCTTGCTGGAGTTCGTGTCACGTTCGACCTCATTCAGGGCGCGGTCCGCGAGCGCTCGGCCAAGTACACCAAGTATCAGAAGTTCCTCATTCGTACTTGTGCATGCGAAGGAGTGTGGACACGACAGCGGGCACGAGAGCGCGGGCACGACACGAACGGCCTCTGCAGTTGCGGGCAGCCTGATACTGTCCACCACAGGCTCTACTCCTGCACGCGGGCTGACGTAGTCGCGGCTCGTTCTGATAGCGGAGCCAGCCCGACTTTCATCCAGGAGGGTCACGAAGCTGATGGAGATCTGCGCTACGTCACGGGGGCATTCGCCTACGAGGAGCGTCTGCTGCCACCGCTTGATAGCGGCACGACTGTCCACCTTCTCGATGCTGTTGGCCAGGAGGCAAATTGTGAGCCTGAGACTCTCTGCAACATCATTGCCCCCAGCGTCCCGTCCGCGGAGATTGCAGTGGACGGCTCTTGCAGCGTGCCGCTCCTTGCAGCTGCTCGCCGCGCCGGCTGGGCGTCGGCGCTGCTGGACCCGAGCGGCAACCAGCCGCTCCGAGTGATGTACGGTGCAGCCCCTGGCTCCCTGCCGCAGAGATCAGCCATGGCTGAGCACTTGGCGCTGGCATACGTCGGGCAAGTGGTGGACAGGCCGACGGACGTCCTCACTGACTACATGGCCGCTGTGATCGAGGCCACCAAGTGCCCCGAACAGCAGCTGCGACCTGGTGCGCGATATGGATGTGTCAAGCTTTTTGGTCAACAGATGCCTGGATTTCATCACATCCGGTCCGTGTCGCACGTGAAGGCACATCGCTCTGCTGACCAGTATGCTCAGTTGTCTGAGGTTGATAAGCGTCTCACTGACGCCAATGTTGTTGCTGACGTCTTCGCCAAGCGCGCGGTCCAGCTGCATGGGCCCGCGCCGCATGAGCTTGATAAGCAGCTCGAGACTGGGCTGCGCATCGCGAATGGTTTCGTTTCTTTGGCCGCCGCCGTGCTGCCGCTTTTCGACAGAGAGGAGCGCTGGGCACGAGTGTCGGTGGCACAGCGCGCTGCACACATTCAGCGCACTCGTTGGCATGACTGGCGTCGCACAGTGATAGGCGAGCAATATAGCAAGTGTTTCTGTTTAGCACTTGACACGCATGACAAGCCCCTCTCAGGATGTAGGGGCATGCCTAAGTATCTTGACAGTTTTGTGCGCACCCCTCTAGGTCACGCACTTGTTGCTGTGAATCAGGGGGGTAAGGCCCCTGCGTGCCCAGGTTGCTGCCGCCCAGCGCATGCGTGTACTAAGTGCGGTGCCTGGGCCCAGCAGTCCAGGAGGAGCAAATTAAGACGACCTTGCGAGCCCCCCACCGGGAAGGGGCTTGAGGTCCTTGCGAATTTACGTAACGGAGCTGGCCCCCACAGGGGGCTCGCTCGCCAGGTTGACGCCGCCCTCCCAGCTCTTCAGTCCGTGTCTTGTGCTGCGAGGCGTCCCGAGCTTGAGACCAAACGCGTTTCCAGAGCCCCTGTGTCCGAGGGCCCCCCGACCTATGAGTCCAGGATGGCCGCCTTCGCCGAGAGAATTCGTCTGAAAGAGCAGGCTGCCTCAAGGTAGTCTGATTTCAGGCCTGGCAGAGTCGCCGAAGGTTGTGCATTGTTTTGCACGCGCCAGGGCCCAGAGCTGCTGGCGTGATCAGGTTGAGCCGCCATCCTCCCCAGAGTTTCAGCATTCAGCGTTCCTCCCTGTACTCTTTTTCCTACTAAATCCCCCCGGCCCTGGGTTTCTCCCAGAGCTCCGGGAGGCAACCGACGGCCTCCAGGCGACGACGACGACGACGACGACGACGACGACGACGACGACGGCGACGGCGACGGCGACGGCGACGGCGACGGCGACGGCGACGGCGACGGCGACGGCGACGGCGACGACGACGACGACGACGACGACGACGACGACGACCACGACCACGACCGACCACGACGACGACGACGACGACGACGACGACGACGACGACGACGACGACGACGACGACGACGACGACGACGACGACGACGGCGGCGGCGGCGGCGGCGGCGGCGGCGGCGGCGGCGGCGGCGGCGGCGGCGGCGGCGGCGGCGGCAGGGGCGGCGGCGACAGCGACGACGGCGGCGGCGACGACGGCGACGACGTCACGCCCCAGGACACGAGCGAGAGCGAGGTCGCGCGGAGCAGGCGCGAGAGCGCGAAAGCGCACTCAGGGTGCCCAACAACAATAAATGTGCAGCGACGACAACGATGAAGAAGACGACGACGAAGGCGACGGCGACGGCGCCACGCCCCCAGGACACGAGCGAGAGCGAGGTCGCGCGGAGCACGCGCGAGAGCGCGAAAACGCACTCACAGCGGCCCAACAAGAATTTGCATCAGCAATTAAGGTTCAACAGGAACTAGGGAAGCCGCAGGGCCTCCTGGGAGTCTGGAGTAAAAGCGGCGGAAATGTCGATCGGGGCGTCGTTGTTTGTAGGGGGTCCTGAGGCGGGAGCGCCGGTCCTGAGATGTAAAGCAAGGAAGGATCGAGCGGGAGCGCCGACTTCGTTGGAAAAGCTGCTGTTGGGGGGCGAGCGAGAGCCCCGGCCCCGATCGGAAGCAAGCATCGAGCCTGAGCGCCATTGTCATTGTTGGGCGGCCGGTTTTGGCGGAACCCCGACACGCCAGCGCGCGAGCTTAATTTCCGGAAGAAACGCAGCCGGCACTTGGGCGAGAACGCGAATGATAGTCTTTAGCGATACAGGCTCAGCATCAACAACAATAACAATCAGTTTAAGACCGTTCGTTCTTATCTGATCACGTGCCAATCAATACGTATATCCCGAACCCTCGGCGCCCGCCCTCGTCGTCTTCGGTCGTACCCGCTGGGGGTATATATTCCCCACCTGCGACGCGAATTTACTGCAGCCCCTAAAACAGAGGAGGGAAGGGCGGGTGGAATGGAGAAGGAGAAGGATGGAGCACGAGGGAAATTAACAGGAGGGGGGCACAGGGCAGAAAACGAGTGATAGAACCAGACGGGCAGATCGGGTGGGCAGACCCAAGGTCGAGTAGGCGGATCGCTGAAGCGTGGGTCCTGTGTGAATCGCGAGGAAGTCTCGATGGATAGCGCGACTCCCAAGAAAAATCACGATAAAGAGCGTGATTCCTGACCGCCGAGGGCAAATCGTTCGAATACATTGCGAAGAATTCCCACGCGAGAGCGCGATTCCTACATAAATTGTGGGATTGCGAGGAAGAATCAGGCGGGAACCGTTGTTGTTGTTGTTGTTGTTGTAGTTCGCGGCCCAACGACGCAGCTTGAAGAGGAAGATTTGCTTCGCAATAGAAAGCCGGATGCAAACATTTTAATTTAAAAACAATATGTTCCCGGAGGAGTCATAACGGTGGTTCTTCTTCAGAAGTAAAAGCTCAACAACAATAGTTCCCACATAAAGAATCCGCGATTTTCGTCCCTAGGCCAAGCGAGACGAATGGCATTCAGCCCATGCCGCCACCGCGTTTTGCTTGCGAGTCTGAGTTATCAGGGATGTTCCTTCGGGTCTTTTCGAAGCGCTCTCGGGGACCTTTGGGGGGCAGATTTGGGCCTCTTGGGGTCTCTTGGGGTTTTGTGGGGTCCGATCGGGGCCGAGGGCTCGAAATGTCAGCTCGGGTTCCTTATCAGGGTCCCCATTAGAGGGCCCGTTTGGGCAGTCGTGGGCACCTTGTGGGCCGTCTTGGAGCCCTCTTGGGGGTTTCTGGGGCCGTTTTGGGCGGAGAATTCCAAAATCCGCCCAATAACCAAGGGAAAATTCATGATGTGTGCCTCTTGAGTGATTTGGGGCGTTTGGGAAGTTTTGGGGGCCGTAATTTGGACGTTTTGGACCAGTCGCTCGGCGATTCGAGGCCTTCTTGGACCGTCTTCGGGACCTTTAGAGCCCTTTTGGCCTGTTTTGGGCCCCCTTGGGCCCGCGAGTGTCAAGCGACAGCGCTTCCTGGAACCAGGGGGCACGCGCCAAGCGCAAGAAGATTTGAGAATTTTGAATCCGGGCCCCAAAAGACCTCCTAAGGATTCAGGACTGGGGGACACGCCCATTCCGTGCCCAGGCGCACGGTGGCGGATACTTATTTAATTTCAGTCGTACAACATTGTTCAATTTTTTCAGACCTGATCCAGCAAGTCAGAAAGTGGGGCTCGCACGGTTTGTTTTCTTTGGCTGAAGGCCGCTGGATAGCAATCTGCAATGTGGAGTCGAGACGCTGGAACAGAAGGTACCCTCCAGGAGCGGCTCTGGTTTGGGGACCGCCTTTCCAGATTGACGTCGGGGAATATGTACATTCGAGGTGTTGTCTCGTCGTGGACAGAAACAACTCTTTTCGTTTTTTTCATTATTCATGGTAGCGTGATGAATGCATGCGCCCAGCCGTCCTGCAGCGACGGTGGGCCCGTGCCGAGAAAATAGCCGCGCCGAGGTCGTGGCGCCTCGGGATGACTGGGTGGCGACGTGCAGCAGAGCGGTGATCGGCGCCGCCCGGCCGGGGAGCACCCTGTTTTCATGCAGATTCCCGGAGGAGTAGTCGTAGTAGTTGCGCGAATGGCAGCGCTAGTGGAACTGGTCGTGGTAGTGGTCGCAGTGGGAGTAGTTGTTGCAGTTGTAAATGTTTTAGCATGGAGTACTAGTATTCGTTGTAGTAGTAGTAGTAGTAGTAGTAGTAGTAGTAGTCGTAGTCGTAGTCGTAGTCGTAGTCGTAGTCGTAGTCGTAGTCGTAGTCGTAGTCGTAGTCGTAGTCGTAGTCGTAGTCGTAGTCGTAGTCGTAGTCGTAGTCGTAGTCGTAGTCGTAGTCGTAGTCGTAGTCGTAGTCGTAGTCGTAGTAGTCGTAGTAGTAGTAGTCGTAGTAGTCGTAGTAGTAGTAGTAGTAGTAGTAGTAGTAGTAGTAGTAGTAGTAGTAGTAGTAGTAGTAGTAGTAGTAGTAGTAGTAGTAGTAGTAGTAGTAGCGTAGTAGTAGTCGTATAGTCGTAGTAGTCGTAGTAGTAGTAGTAGTAGTAGTAGTAGTAGTAGTAGTAGTAGTCGTAGTCGTAGTCGTAGTAGTAGTAGTCGTAGTAGTAGTAGTAGTAGTAGTAGTAGTAGTACAGTAGTAGTAGGTAGTAGTAGTAGTAGTAGTAGTAGTAGTAGTAGTAGTAGTAGTAGTAGTAGTAGTAGTAGTAGTAGTAGTAGTAGTAGTAGTAGTAGTAGTAGTAGTAGTAGTAGTAGTAGTAGTAGTAGTAGTAGTAGTAGTAGTAGTAGTAGTAGTAGTAGTAGTAGTAGTAGTAGTAGTAGTAGTAGTAGTAGTAGTAGTCAGTCCGTAGGTCGTAGTCGTGTCGCTACAAACCTCACCTTCGTGTACTCTTCTTTTGTATCAGGCCTACTAGAACTCCTACCAGGGGAATTACGAAAACCGTAGTTTCAAACCTGGCCTTCGTGTGTTTCGCGCCAATGCCTACTTTCGTGCACTCTTCGCTGTAGAGGCTGTAGATTGGATTCGTATTAGAAAGTGAACAAAAAAACTGTAGTTTTACACTTGTCCTTCGTGTCGACGTCGAGCAGCAGTCCTGGAGCTCAAGGTGTTTGGAATATGTTATCAGATTTTCGCTGTGTACATGCCGCACGGCGCGATGGACGAATCATGTGTGGACGCTGCGTATGCAATCTTGGATGAATTGTTGCACAAAGCGCAAGCGAAGCAGTGTCGCGTGTTGGTCGGTGGAGACTTCAATGCTGAAGTGGGCCCCCGGGCCACGGAAGAAGATTTCGACATTATGGGCGAGAACAACATCCGGAGTCGCAGCGAAAGAGGAGATGTGTTATTCCAGTGGTGTGTTGATAACAAGTTTGCGTTCGCTAACACGTTCTGGGGCAAAAGTTATGAGCAGCTGTGGACGTATTCGAATGGAGGCGTCTTCAAGCAGCTGGATTACATCTTGGTTCCAACGCGATTTCGGGAACACGTCCGTCGTTGTTGCGTGGCTGAATGGTTGGACACAGGTTCGGACCACAGGGCGCTCCTGCTCCGCATCGCTGTACACCCAGCAGTCCCAATGCAGAAGAAGCGTTACTTTCCAAAATGGAACACACATGTTGACAAGGAGAAGTACGCTTCAGTTCTGGATGGAACGCCTGGCTGCTGCACCGCGGCTTTTCCGGATTCGAATGCGAAAGCTCTCTCTTTGGAAGCATCGATGATCGATGCGCTGCGGCAGGCGCTGCCGGGGAAGCAGGGGCCCACAAAGGCTCGCAAGATGCCGGATTCAAGCATTGACCCGCTGATTCGGGAACGACGAAAACTTCGGGGGCGACAGGACTTGAGCGCCGCAGAGAAGAAGCAGACAAGATTTTCATTGAGCAAAAAAATCAAGAAACTCATCAAGCATAACATTCAATCCCAGAAGACAGAGAAGATTGACCACATTCTGAAGGAATTCAAGGGCGTGTCCAGGCTACCACAAACAGGGCGTCCTCAGAAGAAAGAGCATATTGCCAGCATCACCGACGAGGATGGGGTAACGCACGTCTCGAGTGCCGAAATCGCAGAAGTGTTTGCGTGCTTTTACGAACAGTTGTATACCGCGCAGAATCATGACCAGCACAGCAGCTCTCTTCACAATTCACATGTTGACGATTTCACCATTGCAGAGCTGGAGAGTGCGTTGTCGGGCATGAAGTCTGGCAAGTGTTCAGATGAATCCGGCGTGGTGGCTGAGATGCTGAAGTGCAGTGGTCAACGTTTTCGCACGCTCATGCTGGACCTGTTCAACGATATCCTCACGCCGGAGGCAGAACCGCCGGATAGTTGGAGGAAAACACGCCATGTAGTTTTATTCAAGAAGGGTGACCCGAATCTCACGAAGAATTACCGTCCAATTGTTATATTACCAATCATGTACGAAGTCTTCGCGAAGATGCTGTACAATCGTCTCCAGCCCACAATCATCGCCGAGCAGTCTGTGGACCAGGCGGCGTACCGGAGGGGCTATTCAACTACCGACCATTTGCTTTCTGTCACCTTGCTTGTTGAGGGGCGCGCAGAATTTTATGAAGATCTTTGGCTTGGCTTGGTGGATTTTGAAAAAGCTTTCGATACGGTAGAACACCCGGCTCTGTGGGACGTACTGCGCACCGCTGGCGTGAGCGAGGAGTACGTAGTCTTACTGCAGAAGCTGTACCGGAGCCAGACAGCTGTGGTCACTGCTGGAGAGGAGTCGAGATGTTTCAATATACAGCGTGGTGTGAAGCAGGGGGACCCCATCAGCGCTCTGCTGTTCATCGCGGTGATGGAGGTGTGCTTCCGCAAGCTGAAGCACCGTTGGCATGGGCTTAACAAACGGAGGGCCGGGCATTACTACGGCATGGTCGTTGACTCCCCAGGCGACCCACTTACTAATTTGCGCTTCGCGGACGACGTGCTGCTCGTCGCTCTCAGCAAAACGGACGTAACGAAAATGATTCATGATCTTCAGACAGAAGCTGCAAAATACGGCCTCAAGGTGCACATGGGGAAGACAAAGGTGCTCACCAACAGCTACGGGCAATTGCCTGCACACGTGCGAGTTGCCGGCGCTGACGTAGAAGTGGTGCCACCCGCGGGCGCGGAACGATACTTGGGAAGGCAGATCTGCCTGGGCAGTTTCCATGAAGCAGAGTTTACGAACAGAGTCAATGCCGCGTGGAGGTGTTTCGCAAAATTCAAAGACATATTATGTTCCCGTTCGTATCCTCTCCAGTCGCGACTCAAGTTGTTCAATGCGGTGGTTACCCCGACAGCCCTCTACGCCTGTGCGTGTTGGACGATGACTTCAAGCCTCGGCAACAGACTCAGGACGGCTTGGCGAAAAATGGTACGGAAGATATTTCGAGTCGCGCGAGGTGAAGTTGAGTCTTGGGTTGACTACATCAAGAGGGCCACAGAGCATGTAGAAAACAAGTGCGCTTTGTGGGGGTACGAGAGCTGGGAGGTGACGCAGGCGGCCCGAAAAGTCAAATTCAGGGACGCAGTGTCGCGCGACGACCCGCAGAAGTGGAGTCGCAGACTGCTCCAGTGGAGCCCGTGGTTCAGATGCCTACCCAAACGGCGTCCTGGCCGGCCTCATCTTCGCTGGAGGGATACTGTTGCAGTTCATGCAGAGTAGTGCGATTGCCGAGTTGTTGTGAGCCGGCGCGGAGCATGTAGTCTCACGCTCTGCCCTTCAGAGGACCGCTCCTACGGGAGCCGGCGAGCAGGCTGAACTGAACTGAACTGAACTTCGTGTCGACGTCGGGTTTGGAGCAACCGCCACTGCCAGCCGCTTCATTTCGGCACAACCCTCTCGAGGATCGTGGGCCTGGCCTTCCGACGCGCGATTCTGGCGCGCACTTCACTAGGATCGTGGCCCTGGTCAAAGTGGGAGCGCTGCCGAAGGCCCACCGACGTCCAATTCCGGCACGCCGCTCACGAGGATCGTGTCCTGGCCCGCCTGGGAGCGCTGCCGACGGCCCACCGATGAGCAATATCGGCGCACCCCTCACACGGATCGTAGACCTCGCCGCATCTGGATCGCCGCCCGACGCTGAAGTTCGGCACACTTCTCACATGGATCGTGGCCCTGGCCCAATGTGGAGCGCTGCCGACGGCCCACCGACGCCCAATGCCGGAACACCCCTCACGAGGATCGTGGCCCTCTGGTCCACTTGAGAGTGGGTTTTCATAAGGACGTCGTTCTGGTTCTATTCGGGAGCGCATTATGGTTTTATTCGTTTCTGGCTCGTGATGGTTAGGAGGGAGGAGGAGGAGGAGGAGGAGGAGGAGGAGGAGGAGGAGGAGGAGGAGGAGGAGGAGGAGGAGGAGGAGGAGGAGGAGGAGGAGGAGGAGGGAGGGAGGAGGAGGAGGGGAGGGGGGGGAGGATAGGGAGGAGGAGGAGGAGGAGGAGGAGGAGGAGGAGGGAGGAGAGGAGGAGGAGAGGAGGAGGAGGAGGAGGAGGAGGATGAGGAGGTAGGAGGAGGAGGAGGAGGAGGAGGAGGAGAGGAGGAGGAGGAGGAGGAGGAGTGAGGAGGTGGAGTTGAGTGAAAAGGAAGGAGGAGGAGGATGGGAGGAAGGCCACTGCCTACCTTCGTGCACTATTCGCTGTAGAGGCTGTAGATTGGATCCGTGTTAGAAAGTGAACAAAAAAACTGCAGTTTTACACCTGTCCTTCGTGTCGACGTCGGATTTGGAGCAACCGCCACTGCCAGCCGCTTCAGTTCGGCACAACCCTCTCGAGGATCGTGGGCCTGGCCCTCCGACGCGCGAAACCGGCGCGCACTTCACTAGGATCGTGCCCTGGTCCAATTGGGAGCGCTGCCGAAGGCCCACCGACGTCCAATTCCGGCACGCCGCTCACGAGGATCGTGTCCTGGCCCACCTGGGAGCGCTGCCGACGGCCCACCGATGAGCAATATCGGCGCACCCCTCACACGGACCGTAGACCTCGCCACATTTGGATCGCCGCCCGACGCTGAAGTTCGGCACACCTCTCACATGGATCGTGGCCCTGGCCCAATGTGGAGCGCTGCCGACGGCCCACCGACGCCCGATGCCGGA